ACCAGTCTCGAATATATGAGTAGTCATGCGATAGCTATGTGTGCTTTTACTCCCCGTGGCGCCCGCGCCACGCTGCTGTCACGCCGTTCGTGACACTGCCTATGTCGACTGCCTCAATAGCCGCTGTCTTCGCCTCTTTACCCACTGTTGCTGCTGCTTATATATTTGCCTTTATTGCCTCTATATCTTCTCAGAGATGTCGGAAGGCTTTATTAATGCTTTTCTATCCTTTCACTGTCTCTGTGCGCAGTCGATCTACCTTCTCTTCTAGGGTGGCTTCGTCAGGGGTGTCCTTGATTTTGGCGAGCGCAAGTAACGCGCTCTTGAGGGCTTTGCTTAGTTGCTTTCTATTGATCTCTTTCTCTCTTTCTACAACTTGCAATAAATCGCTGAGCTGCTTCATGATTTCTAGGACACGCTCTCGGAGGTTGGTGGGCCCGGTTACCTCCTGGGACCAGGGCGTCGCTATGTCATACGGCCGCGCTAGGCGGTGCGGCTTCCGAGAAAGCAGTTTCCGGTCTTCAGGATCGTATAAAATATGAAAATGTATGAGTATTTAATTGAGAACGGAGATGTCGATCATTATACCACGATTATAGCTACACCAAACCAAGTCTTGGCGAGACTCTACCATAGTTCAAAAATTTTTTATCAAAGAATTTTAGCTCAAAGCCGAGCCCAACGAGACCCTTGACTAGACTGGTGTACAGAATCTGTGCATTCTCAGGCTGGTCACTCTTGGAACATGATCGCATCCCACTTGTCAATATGCGCTCAGGGTGCTCTGCCATGGGCTGCATAAAATGATCTTCCGTGATATCCCAAATTCTAATTAAGCCATCGTCTCCACCTGATGCTATAAATTTATTATTTGGAGCGAACACCACCGTGTTGACCTGGTCAGTATGCCCATAGAAGGTCTTCTCCCACCTAGTGATTGTATCATGCAATCGAACCTTCGCGTCAGCAGAGCCCGATATCAACTGTGTTCCGCAGGAGGAGAAAGCAACTGACGTGTACCAATCGGAATGACGAAATTTTTGCAGTATGTGTCCATTATGGATATTCCAAACCTGTATAGTGCCATCGTCTGATGCAGATGCTATATGCTGACTATTAGGGGAAAAGGAGAGTGATCGCACCCAATCACGGTGACCCTCAAATTGGTATTGTGGCTGACCTGTTGTAGCATTCCATATTTGAACAGTCCGATCAACTGAGCTTGATGCAATATATTGACCATCAGGCGAAAATGCTACAGAAGCAACCTCGTCATCATGTTCAAGAATATGCGTTATCTCGCTTATGTCTAGATCCCATATCCACACGAACTTGTCTGAGCCAGCCGCTAGCCGTAGTCCATCCGGCGAAAAGGCAATCGTAGTAACGAAATCCTCCTTAACTAACTCATTGCTATCTGCAATAAGCTGTTGACAGCAATGAACTTCATGCAAAGCGTCTCCAGTGAACCAGATTTCAACGCCTTCCCCATAACTAAGCGCTAAAAATTCACCGGATGGAGAGAAACAGATCGCTGACACGGGACCAGGCACTTGAATGATATAACGCTCTGTGCTAGATTCAACATCCCATATTCGTATCGTCTTGTCCGATGAACCGGATATCAGAAGCATCCCAGACGGAGATATGGCCACGACATTAACTTTTCCTGTATGGCCCAAAAGGACCTTACGAAAACTGTCCTTGATCACTGGTTCAAAGGAAGAGTAGCTTTTAAACATTTTCGCGGATGGGTATGGCGGGAACATGGAACTACGATTTTAGATTTAAGGTGATGAGCGTGGAGCTCTCAACAGACCGCCAAATTAATAAATGCCTAGGAGTCGTTCTAGATAGTAAGCTGAAGTGGAAAGAGCACGTCTAGGAGATATGTAAAATACCGCGAACACCATAAATATGATAAGCTGCTTAGGGAGCTTAATATAGAAAATCCGCCTAGCCGATATAAGGAAGATATATTACGATATGATAGTGCTATAATTATTATACATTTATTCACTCTAGCCCAGTTTAGGAGGTGATAAGGGAACATGTATAGATATAACCCTTAATACACTAAGTGTCACGCAGTCACCCTTTGCGCATGAGGATCGCTCAAAAAACAAGGCTATACCAGCTCAATTACCGCCAAGGATAAGCGAGTGGGCCGGACAAGCGAGTGCGCCGTCCTCACCACCACAACATAACATTTTCGCATATATCTTTATAATATTATATTATATTAGCTATTAAATAGTATATATAGAATCTTAATAAGCTATCTAATGCTGAGAACATTGATTGATTCGATGACCTAGCTCATGACAACCACTACAGCGGTAAATACGTGGAGTACTACCACTGCCTTGCGGCTGTACTTTCTGAATTTCAAGCTGAATGTCACGAACGGCGTGACAGCAGCGTGGCGCGGGCGCCACGGGGAGTAAAAGCACACATAGCTATCGCATGACTACTCATATATTCGAGACTGGTGCGAACGGGTTAAAACCCCAACGGTAAGAAGATGAGACGCCTACGCGGCCCCTGCGCACCTGTGTATTTAAGGCAGCTCGAGGACATACGTTCGAGAGCTAGCGGATATTCTTGAATCCTACAATCTATCTCACACTCCTATCACCAATTCCTTACACTGAATCTGGCTATTAATCTGATCTTGCATAACCATATTACTGCCGGCACTATAGGCTAATACACCTTGCCTCTGAATCTTTTTCTTTTGACGTCGCTTACGACTAGAAAGGGCTTAATTGGCTGCCTCAAGGTCAGCAACCTGAGCCTTTACTAAGGTCGCGTAGTCAGCTACTGATTGAGCACTTTTAGCAAGGCGATCAAGTGACTCAATTATAGAGGTTCATGAGCTATTTTGATGATCCTGAATCCGGCTTCGGATAAGCTCTGTTTGAAGGCCCAATTCAACAGCATTTCTTGGGGTCTTTGATTGCCATTCGATCTGCTCGATTAGTGGTGGTGTAGGTGTTCTAAGATGAATATCTAGCTTTGATAATATAGCATCTGGGTTCAATGGTAGCAAGCCAGTACCCTTGAATCCAGCTCGTATATTATTTGGTCGTAGTGCCTGGATAAAAGCGTGCTTAAAGGCAGGAAGTGTTGCAGGAATATCACATGATCTCCCGCATAAAAGACTCTTTTCTGTAAAGACAAAACCAAAGAATATACAACAACATGGAAAATCACTATGAGAACACATTTTCATAAAAAAATACGTCCATATAAATTACATTTTCACCTCCTTTTGCTTCCCTGAGCGCTGCACACCAGCAATATCCAGCACTGCCTAGCTTAGGCTAGCCCCTCAGTGCGACAGGAAGGAATTTCTCGCACTGTGGCGCTAGCGATGCTAGGCAGTGCTGAGGACTGCTGTGCGCGGCGTGTCAACGAGCTACAGAAGATGATAGATGGATGGAAAACTAGATAATTGAGAGGATAGGAGGTGGTCCTTTTATTGACTATCTGCCGTGTGGGAGATCATTGTTGTTGTATCTTCTTAAGTGATCTCGCTCAAGCGATGGCTAAATAAGGCGCTAGATTAGTGATTGATTTGATTTGATTTGATTTGATTTTTCATTTACCCTGACCCATCCTAGTTAGGATATGCAGGCTACATACGAGTTATGTGATCTATTTACATTCCTCTCCACGGTTCTATTTCCTGAAGTTTTGTTCCTGCTTGCAGTTGTCTCTTTGTAGTAACCTCATCTCTCACCCTAGTTATAGCATAAATATAACCTAGCTTTGTTATCAAAGGTCTCTATTACGGAACCTTCCAGACTTTTCAGCAAATTCAAGTATAGCATGTAGCTCTCCCTCTGCTATATCTTCTGAAATCAAAGACGATAGGCTGTTAAGACGGGGTCCTATCCGCCTCCGCAGTCGTTGTCGTAGTCCTCGTAGAGTGGGACAGTCAAGAAACACATGTGCCAGTGTCTCTCTCGCTCCACATTCGCAGTTATCATCCT